TAATCATAATTGTTCACTGCTTTCATTTCCCTTGTCATTAGGCTGCAGATCCTCAGACATCTCTTATCACTCATGTCATGAAACATATCACCAGTGTTTAAGACATTTTCCTTGTTCCATTATAAGATTGTGAATTTGTTGTCATAAATTAGGTGTCAATATATATACACATACAGATTTATTTCTGGACTCTCATTTCTGTTCTATTGGTCTATGTGTCTATTTTTATCCAATACCATACTATTGCTTTATGATATAGTTTAAAATCAAGTGAGATGATACCTTCATTTTTCTTCTTTTTTCTCAAAATTGCTTTAGCTATTCTGGGTCTTTTGTTGGTCCATATAAATTTTGGTGGTTTTTGTTCTATTTCCTTGAGAAATATCATTGAAATTTTCATAGGGATTGCATTGAATCTGTATATTCCTTTTGGTAGGATGGTAACCAATATTCTCTCCAGCAGTGGATATGGATATCTTTCTGTTTCTTTGTATCTTGTTCTGTCTTTTAACAGCATCTTGTAATTTTCATTGTATAGAATTTTCACCTACTTTGTTAAATTTATTCTTATTTAGTTTTTTTATGTAATTGCAAATGAGACTTTTTTAAATTTCATTATTTGCTACAGGGATGCAACAGATTTTTGAAAATTTATTTATTTATATATAATTTACATCATTGTTCACTTTTGTACAATATTTGTTTTCTCCTCTCATGTATAGTCCCTATAAAATTCCCACCACCAATTCACCCATGCACTATCACCATAGTCCCTTGTGTTCTTCCCTCCCGTTTTGATCCCTCTCCCTCTCCCTCCCATGCAGAATGTCTCTGATTTATAGTTGCCTGTTAATTTGTTTTTTTATTTATTATTATTATTTTTCCTGATCCCTTATTTGGTTCCCCTATATTCCTCCTATAAATGAAACCAATATTTTTCTATTTCCTTCTGACTTATTTCACTGAGCATAATCCCTTCCAGCTCCATCCAAGTTGTTGTGAATAGCATGAGTTTAACTTTTTTGATTGGATGCAACATATTTTTGTGCATTTATTTGGCAGTCTGCAACTTTACTAATTTATTATTTCTGATAGATTTTTGCTGGCATGTTTAGGCTTTCCACATATATTATCAACCCTCTGCAAATAATGATAATTTCACTTATTTTCAAATTTGGATTTCTTTTATTTCTTGTTGTTGAACTGCTCTAAGACTTCTAATACTAAATTTATTATAGTGATGAAAATGTATATCTTTGCCTTGTTCCCTGGCCAGGGAGCTACCCACAAGGTGCAGCAGACCTCTCCTGTCTCGCCTGCTGCTCCCCTCAGCAGGGTATTTCAGTCAGTCTGCCTGTTCTATTCCCTGCTCTGTCTCTGGTGAATTCTCTCACACCCCACACTTCTGGCCTGTACCCCAGTTCTTGTACGCATGAATAAATAAATCTTTTTTAAAAAAAGAGTGCCCAGTTTATTTTACTAAGCATGCATGTAAATGAGAGCTCAAACAGTTATTGAAACATTATTGATGTTCATACCTTCAGAATAGTATAGACCTAATTTTTAACTGGATTATGTTCCTAATAAATATTATATTCCTAATAAATGTCAATATAATGTTGTGTAAAGTAGGATTTCTGATGTGGAGTCCAGATGAACTTCTACTTCATAATTTTGATTGGAATAATATTTTTACATTTTTAAAGTTCCTTTGCATCTACTATCTCATCTACCCATCAAAATAGGGTGCTTCTTACTTCAGGTCCCAGGACAGGACTAGGACCCATGTTTCCCAAATCTTAGTTCTGTGCTTTTGTCCTTCTCCTTCAAACAGTCTAATACACATAAGACATGACAGCAAATTACCATAAGGTAAACATCCTCAAATTTGGGAACATCATAATCATACCTATTCTAACTTAAGATATATATAATAGTAATTTTATAATGGTTCTCAAAAATATCCCAAATATTGGAATGTTATAATCATAGCTATCCTAGGGGTAGGATTAGCATAATAATTAGCATATAGTAAACCAAACAATTGTTATTGTTGTTGTTGGTATTATCATTAAAAAACAAGCTAGAGATAGCTTGTTGTTATGGAGAAAAGCATGAACTCCAGAGAGTTGACACCCTGATCTTGAATCCTGTCTCAGACATACACACCTATTTCATTAAGTTGTGGGTCAAGTTCTTGGAGGAATACCTAGCACAGAGGCAGTGCTATATAGATGGCCGTCACTATTATTACCTGATGACTTAACCACTTACACACATAAGTAATAATTTGCCTGACGTCACATGATGAGCGATGGAGTTGGACAATAATCTTGATCCTTCCATCTCTCTCCTATAGAAACAACTTTCTAGGTTATATTTCACAATTGCTAAAATGTGTTTCTTCCTCTTTTTCATATCTCCTTCCATGACCAATATTTACTCCCCTTTATCAGGCTAAAAGTCTTTTTAAAATCAACATTTTAAAAAAAGTTCCATTTTAGAAATCGTAAGCCTAGATATCTTTAGCTGTTGTGCCAGGCATTATTTTTGCATTCGCAAGGAGCTGTTTTGTACTTAAAATTGTTTTCCCTTTCTGTACATAGCCTATAAGTCCACTAGAGGTACCCGACTTGAACTTGGCATCTCTATTCACTTCTAGTTAATTTACTCAACAATGTCTAGAACTGGCTACTGTTAGGTTATTCAGTAAATTGCCGACTGGGCAGGCATTCCCTCTATTTTACTCTTGTCTCTCTCTCATTAGCTGAGCAGTTTTGCCAGGGGTTCTCATCAGCATGCAAATTTCATGACCACGTAAAAATAATGTACTCAAAGTCTTTCTTCTAATTAGGGCTGAAGATTAAAGCACCTTCTATTCTACTTTTGGGAAAGATGCAAAATTTAAGGCAAGGTATTCAGGCTCCAGGGAGTATTTTTGGCTTTGTTTTTGTTTCTCAAAAATAAAAATAAAAACAAAAACAACCTAAGACTGCGGGGCCCAGGGTGGGGGATGGAGGAAGGGGAGCTGTCGCTCAGTCTTCAGGGAACCCTGTGCCTGTGCTAAGAAAGGTAAGCAGACCTCATAGCTTCTTGGGTTTTTTTGTCCCTCTTTTTTCCCTCACGACGGTGGTGGCAGCTGATCAGACACAATAGCTGGCAGTCCCCCGCCGGGGTGAGGATAAAAATGACCCTCTACGGCAGCAGCAGCAGCAGCAGCAGCAGCAGCAGCAGGAGGGCTGGGAAAGGGCGGGGGGCTGGTTGGGAGGGGGTGAGGAGGAGAGTGACAAGGTGACAAACGCCGCCGCCTCGCGGGCTACCCCACTCCCGCCCCGCGAGCGCCCGGACCCCACCGGCGCACCCACCACCTCCCGGGACAGGAGGCGGGGTGGGGCCTGTAGCCCAGGGGCGGTGGCTTTTCCTCCTGGGGGCGGGGCAAAGGGCGGAGCGACGTCTGAGTAAGCAGCCTCCGATTGGCTCTTGTTCTAGCGTAGCGTCTCCCGATTGGGCCGTTTGCAGCGGGAGATGTTGTGAGGCGCGACGGGGCGGGGCGAGGCGCCCGGGGTCCGTGGCAGGGCCCTGAACGGGGTGGGGCGGGGCGCCAGTTGCGCTCTGGACGCGGAGCCTGTGGGACCCGTCCTGAGGGGCCGCGCGGTCGCCCTTCTTCCGTCCCGCTAGTCACCCCAATTCGTTCAGTTGCTCTGAAGATTAACGGGGGGGGGGCGGGCGGGAGGGGTGTGTGGAGAGAATGGGGTGCAGACCGCTGCTCCCCGACTCCTTTCCTCAGCGCGAGACGCTATTCCGCTGTCGGGCATGAAAGGACACTCCCTTGAAGTCCCCCCCGCCGCTGCAAAAAGGGGCAGAACTCCCCTCAGACGTGCCCCCCAAAACGTGCCCCGTCCCCCCAGCCCCACACTTCTGGCCCCCAGTCCCCTCCCGGCCCTGCCGCCGAGCCCCGAGTCGCTTTCCCCGTGGACACCCGGGTTCCGAGCGCTCCGACCCGGCCGCCCGGAGGCTGGAGGAGGCGGGGTGTCTGAATTTTGGGGGGTTGCCGCGGGGGTGCGAGCAGGTTTGGGAGGAGGCTGGCGAGCGCCGGCTAATCCCCCTTCCCCAGCGTCCGTCCCCGGGACTGTATTATTCAAGACAGAAAATATTCCACCCCGAGCCTCCCCTGGGGAGGGGAGGGGACGGAGGAGGAGTGGGAGGAGGTGGATCCAGGGAGGAAGAAGCGAGAAATCCGCCCCCGGGAAGCAGCTCGGCGCGGCCGCGGCGCGAGGCACTTCTGTCACCGGGCGGTCGTGGGCGCCCGAGCGCGGCCGCGGCCCGGCGAGGCGAGGGGAGAGTCCGGCGGCCGCCGCCCCGCCCCACGCCCTCCCGCGGCGGCCGAGAGCCCGGGGCCCGCCGGGGCAGGTCGCGGCGGTGCCTGGGAGCGGCCGGCCGGGGGCGGCGGCCTCGGCGCGCGGCGGCGGCGGGCAGCGCCGGATCCTCCTCCCGCTCGGACCGGCTCGCGCCGGGCGTGCGGGGCGCGCGGCCTCGGGGTTGGCCAGCCCGGCGCGGATCTCCTCGCCCCGCTTTCTCCGGTGCGTGTCTGTTTTATTTTCCGCCTTAGCTGAGGGGGCGCAACGCCCCCCGGGCGGGTGGGGAGCCCGGCTCGCCGCGGGCTCCCTGCGTTCCCGCCACCCCGGGCCACCCCGCTCGGCGCGGGCGCGGGGCCGGGGGGAGCCCGCGGCGGGAGCGGAGGGGCCGCGCCCGCGTGTGCGGGGCGAGGGAGGGCCGGCGGGCGGAGGGAAGGGCACAAAGGCCGGCGGCGGGCGCCGGGGTCCGGCCGGCCGGCCGTGGAGGAGGGGCGCCTCCCGGCCGCTCATGAATATTAACCGAGCTTGCGGCCTAGCGCGCCCCGGCCGGGTCCGGCGCCGGGCCCGCGTCCCCGCCGCTCTCGCCGCCGCGCCGCGCGCGCTGGGCCGCGCGGGCCGGGAAGGGTGAGCCCCCTGGCTCGCGGGCTTCCCCCCGGCCTCCCCACACCGCTTTCCAACTACATATTTGGGCCGCCCTTCCCGGGGGATCGAGATCCCTGACCCGCCTCTGGAAGGGGCGGAGGAAATAGTGGTAGGTGGGTGTTGGTTTTCTTTTTCCTATATTTTTTTTTCTCCCTCTAAGTGGCCACCGGGAAAGGCTGCGATCGCGTCGACTCGTAGTTTAGGGAGCAACAACTAAATAAAAGTTGCTTGGGCTACGGCTTCATTTATGTAGCTCCAGAATAATGCCCCGGAGCGGGAGCTGCGCCCGAGTTCCACCCGCCGCGGCGCGCACCTCCCCGCCCGCCCGGCGCGGTCCCCACCCAGCCCCGCCGCGGGCCAAGGAAAACAGCCGCCTCCTCGGGGACACCGGCTGGGGCGGAGGGACCGGGGTGAGGGCACCCCCACTCACCCAGCCTGCCTGGAAACGCCCGCCCAGCCGGCGCTGGCCGTGTCCGAGGCTGGTTTTTTGGTTTTTTTTTTTTTTTTTTTTTGGTTTTTTTTTGTTTTTTGGGGGGTGCGGTGGGTGCTTTGGAGAGCGAAGGAGGTGTTTGAAAAGTATGGTCCCATTTCAGTCTCCTGGGGAGATAACTGCCCTTAAATTTACTGGTTGTGTGCCTAAGAACCTACGCCCTTTCTTCTGCTCAGCAAATGCATTAATTAAAATGCATTTGAAAAGGGGGTGTTTTTTCTGAACGCCGCACAACAGCCTTGGGTGTTGTGCGGTGCAGTTATGCGCCCCCACCCCATCTATAGATTTTTCCTTCTTTTTTTTTTTTTTTTTTTTGTATGGGAGGATCATTTCATCTTTCATTCTCGTGGTTCTTCAACAGGATCCAGATAGTCTTGCCAAGTGTTGGCCACGCAAACTCGGGGTAGACATGTGGGCAAGGCTAAGGTCAGCGTCTGGAGAGAAAGTTCATGCCCTTTAACTTTTCTGTTCTAGGGACGATCTCTTTGGGAGCTGACGCTCGAGCCTTCACGACCCATTCGGATTCGTCTTGGACTCGGAAATAGAGCTAGGAGGAAGGGGACCTTTTTCAGCACTTGGTCTCCGAGGCTGCCAAGAAGACCTGTCTTCTTTGTTTTTTTAAGTCTAGAGAAATGGACGAAGACGGTGAAGTCAGTTGAAGCCTGAAGAAATCAGCAGGGCATTTTGAAGGAGCTTCATAAAGACCTTCATTTCTCGGCACATTGTTTCAGCAGCCCTGCACCGCCCCGACGCTGGTGTGGAATTCTTCTTTGGTGTGTGGTAGCATTGACCCCCCAATGTGGACTCCAAAGGGTTGGTCCCTTCTTTGTAATTTGAAATGAAATGATGGCCACTCATCGGACTGGTCTGCGGGAGGGAGATGGTGACAAGCTGAAGGCCTGCGGGTCCCCCGCCTGTGAGGTAAGAACAGCCAGCATCCCCTGCCAGCTTTTAGTAGCCTGTGTTTGTCAGGTAGCCTGGCCATTGGGGGAATCCCCGGCTTTCCTCAGCTTTGGGCTTGGCTGGTGAGTACCCCACCCCGACCAGTGGGGAGGGAAGCCTTGCCCATTTCTGTTAGCAGGAACTAACAGTGATTCTTTCTCAAGAACGTTTTCCTTACCTTGATATGTCCCCATAATGGTCACCTCAGATGAGGGAATTCTGCCATTTAAGGTGGCTGAGCATACTACAAACCTGTTTTTCTTCAGTCCCCATCCTCCAGTGTTTTCCTAGATGGACTGATTTGGGGGTGACTTTGTGCATTTTGTGTGTGTTTCCAAGGTTTGCTCTCCAAGGTGGAGAGAGGGCAGCTGGCATGCTTGTTACACCTGGATCTTAGTCTGACACTGATGAGTATCTTGGCTGCTGTTGGTATGGATATCTTCTTTGGCTAGGAAAGAAGTTTTTTCCCAAGGGACAGTTTAGACATGGCCTTGGAAAACTGCTTTATAGAGTTGTAATTCCAACTCCCTGAAAAATCTCCTCCTTTTATTGTTCTTTTATTTATTCCCTTCCTTTCATTGCTCACAAGTCCTTGTGAACTCACAAGTTCTGTGAGCTCCAGGCTGTCAGGTCGCTTGCACTGCCTTGGGACCAGCTCTCTGAAAGTCCACAGAAGATTTTACACCAGGCTTCATGAAATCTGTTGAGCAGGCAGGACAGAAATCATAGAAAATCTATTGATTTATGGCACCCATATGCCCTGTTGCCTTTCATATCTCATATGTAGACTTTACTTATATAATGCCTGTATGGTGTTTGTTACTGATGGTTTCCTGTTGCTTGTTAGTTGTACTGAATATTGTTTTCCTTTAGACTTCACTTTTGAGGGGACCTGTGTTGTTATTGGAAATTGGAAGATTAGTTTAGATAATAACATCTCCAGTGGACCTTTATTCTCATTATTTCTTTTGTGCAATGTATTAAATTTTAACCTCATGGTAAATGAAACAAGATCGAGCTATAAGAGAGTGAGTTTTGGCATTTTAATAAAAGTGCATCAGTTAAATTTTTGTAAAATATGCAGAGAAAATTGCTTCATACAATTTACTTCATGTTTATTGAATTAGAAAGTTTATGCAGAAAACGTAGAGAGGTAGGTGCAGTGTGCCATCACTATACAATGTATCAGAAAGAACTGTAGGTTTACAGTGAGAATCAGTGTTTTACCTCTTGACACCTGTAGACACCTGCTTGCAGGTAAAAAACGTGATTAAGTGTAAGATCACAATCCTCTGATCCTGGTAAACCATAATAACTCCTCTTGGAAGGCCTAACTACAACTTGGTGATTGCTTAATGTGTATTGTAGTTACATCATAATATGTACTGTGGTCCAAAAGCCTTATTTGTCATTGTCTTGTGAATACTTTAATTAGCATGCTATTTGCATTATATTTGCAAGAACTAATGTCATTTGAATTGTTTGTTTTTTTTGTCATTTACGGGATGACCAAAAACCAAGAATTAATAATAGACACATCTTGTCCTTGGCTAGAAGGCAGCGTTTCCAGTTGCAGACTTGGCTTTTATTAACTATGACAGTTATGTTTTTTGTAGGAACTGTGAAATTTGTTTTCATTTGGACCTTACTTCTGGCATGATCATACTGTTTCTAGTTTGGGAAACACTGGATTGTCTGTATTTCGCTTGTTTAAAGATCATGTACAGTTTGTTGTTGAGTTTAGTATTAAACTATGCATTGTTGGACTTTTTAAAGATTCTTAGATTCTATGGGAAATAGAAATAAAGGGCTATATCCTTTCAGAAAATGTTTTAAAATTTCAGGGGGAGGAATGAGGGGGAACTTTTGTAATTACTGCCTTTATTTAGCTACCTCTTATTGATGTTTCTAATGCACATTAAAGATGTGAATACTTATTACTGATGAAAAGAGAGTTGCGGCTGGAATACTTTGGGTTGATATTTAATTCTTTGAACACAGCACTTAGTTTCTGTGCCTCATTTTATTAGAAGTATTACATTGGTAGAGTAGTACTGTCATTCTTCAAAAATTTTGAAAACTAGTGCGTTTGAATAGTGAGCTCATGTGTGTTTTTAATCTTAACCAAGAGATGAGCATGTATTTCTTAATATTAATGCTGTTAATCAGCCAAAAAAATGTAACTTTGTAGGATGGAAAAAATTGCTGTAGTAAATTAATAGGAGTTCCTGTTTCCTGCCTTCTCTAATTAGCTAACTCCACCTTCTGAAGGTTTACTGCTTTGTTGAGAAACCGTCATAAATTTCTTTTCCATTAGAATGTAATTGTAATGATGTACATATAAATAAATGTAGATACCACCTCTAAGTATATTTTGGAAATACCATACAATCTTCCTCAAATAAACAATTATGACATTTCAGTGGAATATATCTTGGCATTCTACAATAAGGATGGCACAATTGTATTCACACATAATTAAAGTCTTTGCAGATCTAAAGATAAATATTTCAAAATTGGTTTCCCTCACTTTGAGCAGATAAATATTTTTTGGGGTGTCTATGTGTGTGCACAATCTGATCTGGCAAGTGTTCTGATATCTGTCCTTGAGCAACTGCTCACAAAATCACTTTGTACATAGATTCTGAGACCTCTGTGATAGTGTCATCCTATTTTTTTTAAAGATTTATTTATTTATTTATACATACAAGCACTGGATACAGTCAGAAGCACGGTGTCATCCCATTTATGTCATATAGTGTTCATCCTTTAAAGCTCATCTGGCTTTTTGTTTTAACTAAAGGTAAAAATGTTTTTTAACCAAAGTTCCTCTTTTTCCAGTTTTCTAGACTACATTATTTTTTCCATTTCTAGAGTTATTTCACTTTCTGTAGTCCCTAGAGTTGTCCAAGTCATTGTCATTGTCTATTATTAAGGTAAACCTATTTACTAGTGCTCATTAACTTCCGTGTTTTGATTCTTCACCTAGACTAAAATTTGCTCTTTTTTCTGAAACACTGTATATATTTTACTTTTATCCCACATTCCCTTGTGCTCTGGCTCTGGAGTGTACTGTCCCCCGCCCCTTCTCTTGGCTTCTTTCTCTCCTGTCCCTTTCATGTTGCTTTAACCAGAGCCAGGCCCTGCCCATTCTTCTACTCTTCTCTTTTCTCACTCCTTTGGTTTCACTTTCCACTGTCCTATGGCTTTAATCTACATGCCAGTGATTCCACCGTCGTTTCAGACTCAACAAATTCTATGCCACCATTTAGCCTTTCCCTTTTCTTGTATTCCTTCCTACATGTCTATCAAAAAGTAGGTCTTTATCCTTGATGCTTATCTCCTCTCCTCATTCCTCATATCCAAAATTGACTCATATCCTGTTGAGTCTACAATCCAGATACCTACTGTCATAAAGCAGGTCAGTTGCATGTTGGTGATAAGCCAGGGACCTGTCGCCTAGCCTCTGACCTACCCTCTGTCTGTGCTACTGTCAGAGTGCTCTTCCTGATATAGACAGCTTACTGATCATTACATTCCCATGTGTAAAATAATTTTGTGGCTTCCTATTGCCTTTGGAATAAAGTTCAAACTCTTGAGAAGTCTTAAAGGATATTGATACTCTGGCCAACCCTTCTCCTATTTCATCTGTTACCTCTTGGTATGCATCCAGTATTGGACTACTTTCAGTAATGCTGGGGCATCAAAATATCTCTCAGCTCTTCGGATCCTTATAAATGCTATTTTCGCTCACTGTTCTTTGCAATCTCCCCTCCTCCATGACTGATTTTTACTTATCGTTCTGGTTTTTCATTTGACATCATTTCCACAGGAAAGCCTCCTGACCTTCTAAGATTGGATCAGTTGCCCCTAGTGGGTCATCCCCAAACACAGTGTAACTTATCTGTAATAGCACATATAAGTTTCTTTATCTTCCCCTGGATTGAAAACCAAAAGCAGTTTGTCTAGTACATAGAGGGTCCTCAATAAATATTTGTTGAATTAATGAGTAAATTTGTAGTAAAGACTTTAATTTTTATTAGATGTTCACTTAGACTCCAGACTCTTCTCTTGATTATCCACCTATTTCAATATCTCCTTCTCAGTCTTTTAAGTTTCAGCATGCTCTCCTGCTAAGTCTTCATCTACCTCAGGGCTTAGTTTGATCTCCTCTTGTTTCTTTATTCTCAGTTTCATTCATGGTTCTAAATATCAAGTATCTATAGGCATACTTTGGTGATATTGTGAGTTTGGTTCCCAGCCAGAGCAATAAGGAGATAGCCCAGTGAAGCTAGTCACTTAATATTTTTATTTCCCAGTGCATTTAAAATTTATGTTTACTCTATGCTGTAATCTGTTAAGTGTGCAATAGCATTGTGTCTAAAAAAAAAGATGTATACATACCTTAATTGAAAGATACTTTCTTGCTAAAAAATGTAGCTCAGAGACACCAAGTGAACACATGCTGTTGGAAAAATGGCCAAATGACTTGCTTCTTGCAGGCTTACCACAGACTTTCAATTTGTAAAATAAATAAATAGGGCCTCCCCAGGCCACGGGTCCCACATGGTGCGGCAGACCTCTCCTGTCCGGCCTGCTGCTCCCCTCAGCAGTGTATTTCGTCAGTCTGCCTGTTCTGTACCCGGCTCTGTCTCTGGTGAATCCTCTCACCCTCCGGCGCATCTGGCCTGTACCCTGGTTCTTGTATAAATAAATAAATAAATATTGCTCATGTACACGCATTGTCTGTGCATGTGTATCTCCACCCCTGACCTAGCTCTCTGTCTCTTGAATTCAGATTTTTTATTTACCCCTGACCTGATCATTCAGTCTCCACTTGGATATTAAATAGGCATATCCCAAATGAAATTCCTGATTTTTGCATTTACCTCCACCCCCCCACCCCTCCACCCCACCCCTCCGCCGCCAACCATCCCAGTTTGTGCCTTCTGCAGTCTTCGTCTCAAGCAATGGTCTTT